CCCCCCCCCGAGTCGAAACGACGGCGAATTTAAACATTCGGTTTTGAGCGAGTTCGATGTTTCGGTTGCCGATGATATTCGCCGCGGCGCGGGATGCGAACAACGGCCGGCTGTTGCCGTGGCGACGGTTGCAACAGCTGTCAGGGTGAACGTAGGTGTTGCACTTATGACGTGTACGGTATGATAGTAGTGCTGCAATGTTCGTGGTCTCAACTCGATTGCTTGTTACCGTGAGCGATTTATACGATGCGGGTGTGGAGGCTGACGCCTTTTGACACGAACGCTGCTCTAGTTCATTCATTACATTATATAAACTGCAGTGAAAATGTTGAATAAATTTTTATAGAATATGTCGCGTGCCTTGTGTGGTGTGAACAGTAGCTGTGACAACGATATCTTAACAAGGTTATGCTTCCCACTCCGTATAAAACCAACTACAACACGTGACGTGAATTTGGACAAAATTCCTCAGTGATTAATTTATTTTGTATAAACGTTGAGAAAATACTTTAGTGGACCCGTATGTACGTGCGACGGGTGCATGGGCTGTGCACGCACGCACGCACGCGCGCACACACACACACACACACACACACGAGCAAAGCATCTGCTTACACTGTATGTGGTTATGTGACACTGGGACTGATTTCCAGTTTGTAATATGATACTGTGCAAACACACCATGATGGTAGACAGCTGCACCCTAAACGCTAAAGCAGCCAGGGTTACATAACAGATCTATCTAATGTCTGAATGGGAACAAAACCCATCGCACCCAGCCATCTGTGCGCCCCCCATCTACCATAGTTAGTAAAATTACTATTCCATCCACGATACTGCACAGAAATGCACAGCGAGTAGTGAGTATTGTCAACCTACACTCTACTCTAATCTTCTCTACTCGCGAATTATGTACATGTGTATAAAAACATGACGACCAATACTTGTTAGGCAATGAAATTAGCTCGGGACTCTAACCGATGTGCGAAAGTTTGCACAAAAATGCATGATTGTAATACTAAAAAATCACTGCCAACTCGAAACGTTTGTACCAAAAGTGAAGGCAAAGCTAGAAGTGGGCGACTTATAATAAGTTAATAACACTAGATGACCAAATCTTGTTGGCAATGCAATCAGCTAAGTCCCTCACTAGCATGCCAGAATTTTATATACAAAAATGCAACAAGGAGAGTCTACTAAAAGGCACTACTAACTAGTTTTTATAATAAACCCCTAAAACAAAACAAGATTAAATTACGCTTCACGCACAAATGACACCTTGTACGTGATATCTAAACGTATCTAGAAGCTCACATTCAACAAAAGGTGCGATGACAGCTTTCACAAAGTTACTGTTGCAATCGTGTAAATTACACTTTTTTCTAACATACTTGTTAAAGCCACAATATGCGCATCTACACGCTAATTTCTCGAGTACTAGACTAGCAAATACTTCATATCATGCATAATCACACTACCTTATGACAAAATAAACTAGTTCAGGACTCCCATTTCACTACGCATTGTCTTATAAAAGGTATTTGAAAATACCTCCAATGTTGTTCAAATTCT